CCACTTAAAAAGCTGGTAGTCCACGGGTGCCTGTAATCCCAGCTACACAGGAGGCTGAGGCAGGAGAATCATTTGAGCCTGGGAGGCAGAGGTTGCAGTGAGCTGAGATCACGCTATTGCACTCCAGCCTGGGCGAAAGGGCGAGACTCTGTCTCAAAAAAAAAAAAAAAAAAAAAAGCTGGTAGTCCAAAAGGAAGGCTATGTTAGCAGGGAACATTGCTGCACAATCATAGGAGTTAGTTTTTAGTCAGAGTTTACCAGAAAATCCCCAGGAAGTTTGAAGTTTCTTCCTCTGTGTCATTTTGAGTTGCTGTTTTCTATCCCTAACCCCATTCAGATTAGTCACTGTGAAAGTATTTGAAGGTATTTCTGCCATTAATTTTAATTCATTTCTAATTTTTAAAAAAAATTAATAAACTAAAAATAATAGCAAGTCCAATGATATTAAAAGCTTAAATTTTTTTTCTCATATGATGATTCCTTATAATAGGAAAAATTCCTTAAAGAGCTGTGTTTAAGAATTCATGAGATCTGCTGATCTTTTATCAAGTCACATATTTGTTTCTATCAAGCCATTAAGACCATGTGTAATATCAAAATCATTGAATTATTGTGGAAACTCTTCTCCACATTATTTTGTTATTTATTATTATTTCTACAAATTATTGTGTAAACTGTCCATCCAAAGTGACTATGGACAGAAAGGAAGTGGATGTGATAAAATATCAATGTATTGATACATTGAATTTAAAGTCAGAGAGGGTTCTAGATGGAAAGGACTGCATAAATCAATGAGACCTGTGGTTCTCAACTCTGGTTGCATAATAGAATCACCTCTATAAAGGTATTCCAGTCTTATGTTTCAGCTCAGTGTGTTAAGGATATATTCTTGATTATTTATTCTATTTCAAATCTTCTCATCTACACCTCCCACTTTACCACCATTGCCAAATTTAGCCATGGGACACCTATACTTCTTATGAGTGATTTTTATTCTCCCTCTTGTTTGAGATCAGTTTTTCTCCAATCTCTTTATCTTTCCATTTGAACACCTACAGAATTTTTCAAGACTCTTCTCGACTTCATGAATTTGAATGCTATAATATTCATGGTTTCTAATGCAGAATGTAATTAAAAACAGTCTACATTTGTCTTCTTTTTAAAGGTTAATATGTTTGTTATAAAATAATTTAAAATATTAAAACACGATAAGTATAAAAACCATAATAATACACAGAATAGGAAATATATTTATCACACATATAAGAAAATGTTGAAGAAAGTGCAAAATTATTTGAATATATTCTTGTGTATCAAGGTTTAAGGACTTTTAAATGTATCATACCTAATGAAATGAAATAACCATTTTCAAGACTTTTGGGATGGACTGTAGATTATTATCACACCTTGAAATATAATTTGATAATGTATATCAAAGCCTTAAATATTTTCATTTCTAAAACCTGGCATTAAGAAAAAAGTCAGCCATCTCTATGTGTCTCTGTCTTTCCTTTATGAATTTCTGCTCCTTTGTCCTAATATCAATGACTTTGGGTATCTGTATTAGTCTGTTCTCATGCTGCTAGTAAAGACATACCCAAGACTGGGTAATTTACAAAGGAAAGAGATTTAATTGACTTGCAGTTCAGCATGGCTGAGGAGGCCTCAGGAAACTGACAGTCACCGAGGAAGGGGAAGAAAACACATCCTTCTTCATACGGCAGCAGCAAGGAGAAGTGCTGAGCAAAAGGGAGAAAGTCCCTTATAAAACCATCAGATCTCATGAGAACTCACTATCATGAGAATAGTATGGGGAAAACCACCCCTATAATTCAGTTATCTCCACCTGGTCCTGCCCTTGACACACGGGGATTATTACAATTCAAGGTGAGACTTTTGTGGGGACACAGAGCCAAACCTTAGCAGAATCTTATTTAGGATTCCATTACATGTTTTATAATTTTTTTCTAGTTTCCATATTAAATCACTTTTGAAAGTATATATATCTTCCGACTCTTCATCAAAGACAAATCCCTACTTCCATAGGCTTCAAAGTGAGGATCATAACAATACCTTCTTCACAGTATTATGTAAATTAAATACATTTTCATGTGACGGCTGGGATTGAGTAAGTGTTGGAAGATTTCTGGAGTTCTTTCTGTAATTGAAGCCAAGCTCTTGATTGCCTGTGAGGCTAGTAGGATGTGGGTGATCACATTACATTTCTGGTCTGTTTCTCAAATTTCATCACATTGCTGTGAAAAGTTATCATGGAAATGTCAGGTTTTGAGTATGCTGTGATGCTGGGAGCTTGGTGGAGACCTTCTGGAGAAGAGAAAATGGAGGAAGGTCAAAGTGAAAAGCTAATTTCCCCATTTCCGGCCATTTTTGCTAGGAATGGATGCCAGCCTCACAAGGTAGCCAACTGAACTGGAGCAGTTAGTTACTCTTCCATTTGGGGGCTGGTGTTGTGAAGATCATCCTAGGCAAGAAGGAACTGCTGAACTGTGAACTGCACTATCTTCTACAAATCATCAAAACGTTTAGGTCTTATTTGCCTTACCCCATGCCTTGCTAGTGTTCTAGGTCAAGATGGATTTGTTTCATCACAAAGAACCTATAGAGACATAATGTTTCTTTTCATCTATGCCAGGTTAGCATGTTTTAACTTACTTCAGTTGACATAGAGTTATTTTTAAGAGTAAACTTCAATTGGCAACTAGGAGGGAAAAATATAAAAACAGAACAGACTGGTTTACAGTTTCTTTTAAGATACGTTCCCTCCCTTCCTAACTTTCTTCCTTCCACTTTTTCTTCCTTTAATTTTTTTTTTTCTGATTCTTTCTTTATTTAATAAATTTCTTGAGCACTGTGCTGGTCAGTGGGGAGTCAAGGATAAATAAAAGGCATGATTTTCTTCCTCTAATTTAGCTATAATTGAGCCAAGCAGCAGCTTGGCTGCTGCAGCTCATAGAACACCAAATCCTAGATGCATTTTCCAGCTTCAATACTAGGTATGCCAATTCCCATTTGAGCTCATTTTAGTCTAAGCCTCTGTTTGAGGTTCTCAGAATCTGACATTCTATGTACCTTACTTTTCTGTGGCACTTGTGTTGTTGCAAGGCAATGGACTTGCATTATTCTTAACTGCCATCAGGTGGTGTCTAATGCTGGTGCCCATAATTTACAAATATTATTTATTTTAAATAAATTTCTGATGAAGTTAATTTTGCTTTCACTATAAAAACATATCCCTAAAATATAGTCATGCACCGCATATTTCAGTCAACGATGGATCACATATATGACAGTGGTCCCATAAGATTGTAATACTATATCTTTACCTTTTCTATGTTCAGATACGTTGAGATGCACAAACACTTACCATTGTATTCTAATTGCCTACAGTATTCAGTAAAGTAACATGCTATACAAGTTTTTTTGTTTTGTTTTGTTTTTTTTGAGACAAAGTCTTGCTCTGTCGCCCAGACTGGAGTGCAGTGGTGCGATCTCAGCTCACTGCAACCTCCGCCTCCCAGTTCATGCCATTCTCCTGCCTCAGCCTCCTGATTGGCTGGGACTACAGGCCCCTGCCACCACACCCAGCTAAGTTTTTGTAGTTTTAGTAGAGACAGGGTTTCACCGTGTTAGCCAGGATGGTCTTGATCTCCTGACCTCGTGATCCACCTGCCTCGGCCTCCCAAAGTGCTGGGATTATAGGCGTGAGCCACTGCGCCCGGCCACATGCTATACAAGTTTGTAGCCTAGGAGTAATAGGGTAGACCATATAGCCTCCATTTATACTAGCCTATACCATCTAGCTTTGTGTAGGTATACTCTATGATGTTCATACAATGACAAAAATCACCTAAGGATGCAGTGCAGTTCTTATAATGTATTCCAGTTGTTAAGTAATAAGTGACTGTATAAAGCATTTAACCATTTGCTAATCACTAAATTTTGCATACTCACAACCAATATTTGCATCCTGCTTTATAATTTGCTATTAAATATGTTCACATTATTAAAATATTTCTTTTGAGTTCCCCATAGGTTTTTGAGGTTAGTAGGGCAAGTGTCTTTATTTGTCCCATTTTACAGATGACAGAAAGGTCATCTGTAAAATGATATGGCCAAGGTTACCCAAGTACTAAGCAGTAGCATACGGATATAAGGCCCAGTCCTCTGATTTTATATCTAAGCAAATTGTTTAATACCATGCCGTAACAACACAAATAAAGAAGAAATACCAAGTTACAAGTCCAGTAAAAGTTGATCTAAAGACCCCGTGTTATACATCTTTACTCAACTAGTTTTCTCCTTGTTGCTTTCAGAAAACTGTTGAAGTTATGTTCCACATTTGATATCCACATTTTCCAGGTATTGAATGGCTGAGACCCACATAGCACTCACTTGTCTACCATGAAGTGTTAATTGCCATCGTAACCTTCACTTTCTCTCTGAGATCAATACTTTTTCTTTTTTGTTTTATATTATACAATGAGAGACGTCCCCTCTTACTTTATATTCCTTGAACAATAAGGACCCCTTAACATTACACATCTAAAATGATATATTAACACAGGATTTTTTTTCAGGAAAGAAAAAAAACAATTTCCCTAGTAACTAGGTTGCTATAGTCTCTTAGGAAGTTCAGCTATTATTGCTGAATGCTCAAATCTGTCTTATTCTTCTTAAAGTATCCAAGCCATTTTTTTCAGCATGAGCAATTTAATGATGCTCTAAAAATAATTTTTAGAAACAGCTAACCAGCAGGGCATGGTGGTGCGTGCCTGTAGTTCCAACAACACAGGAGGCTGAGGCGGGAGAATCTCTTGAGCTCAGGAGCTGGAGGTCAGCCTGAGCAACATAGCAAGCCTCAAACTCCTAGAAGCCTCAAACTCCTGGGCTCAAGCGATCCTCCCACCTCAGCCTCCTGAGTAGCTGGTACTACAGTTGTGTGCCACCACGCCGGGCTAATTTTTAAATATTTTGTAGAGACAGATTTTCACTGTTTAATGGTTTTTCTTTTTAAAGTCTTGGTGCCACCAGGCCTGGGGCACTCCATGCTCCAGCGATCCTAGGTTGGTAAGGAATTAATTTATTGGTTACACTTGCCTCACTCTATTGTTCTCTCAAGTCTCCAGCCTGCTCACCGCCACAAGCTATATCAGCAGTTGATTGGGTCTCTGCCTCCTCTTTGGGCATCAGGTTTCAAGGGTATGGCTTGAAATGAGCTTACTTCTTAATAAATCACCCTTCTTCTCATTGACACCTCCTCACCCTAGCTCCAGAACCTGCTCTCCCCTGTGACCTGCCCCACTACTGATAAGCTCTTTGCTAGCACTAACTTTAGGTCATCCTCTAGGCCACATGGACATGGCATTCCAGGAAAAGGGGAGGTGTGAACTGGGGGCACGTGAATGTGGACTAGCATAGTGTGTCTGGGTAATGGCAGTGATTAGTGTGATTGGAGCTAAGGTCTGTACAGGGGGCATAGGAGGACACTAGGCTAAGAAGGGAAGTTTGGCCTAGATTGAATAGGGCCTTCTCATTACATTAGACTTGATCCAGTACTCAGTGCAGAGCCGCTAACAGTTTTGGGGGAGGAGAGTGAGTTAATCCTATTCCTGTTTTAGGAAGAGGACTTCAGTGTGGGCATGGAGGGGGACTGGAGGATGAGACTGCAGGAGACAGGGAAGCTCTTTACAGGAGGTTTGCCTTAATCCAACATAAAATAGTAAAGGGTGGACTCTGAGATCTGGCAGTGGAACGAAGAGATAAAGAAGATGGGAGAGATTGTTTCAGAAATAAAACTGATATAACGTTTTGATTAATTGGATGTAAGTTAGAAGGAGCAGGGAAAGTCAAAGGAGTGGTCTTCTTAAACATATATGTAGAAGTTTGTGCCAGTAACTGAGTGAGAAATAGAAAAGGTAAAGCAGGTTGGGGAGAAGAAGATAGGTTCTGTTCTAAACATGCTGTTTGAGGCCTGAAAGGAGAAGCTAAATGTGTATCAGATAGACAGGGGACACTCTGGGAGTTAGTCAAAGAATTTACAAGAAACATCAAGAGTTGTTGCAGATTGGTCCAAGTCAAACCAAAGAGGAAACTGAACTTAGAGACTGAGTGACAGGTAGCAGGACTTAAGGATATGTGATAAATAACTGGCTTTCAACATTCACTGAACATCTAAGGCACTTGGGAGGCTTTAGAGTATTAGTAATTTCATTGAGATACAATTTACATAGCATAGAATTCACCTGTTTAAACTTTAGAATTCACTAGTTTTTAGTATATTCAAAATTGTGCAACCATCACCACCACTTAATTTTAGAACATTTTGTCACCCCAAAAAGAAACCCTATGTCCATTAGCCATCACTCCCTACTCCCTGCAATGAACTTAAAAAAGAAGGTTGCTACTGGAAGGGTATGGTAAAGCTCACAGTCTCACAAAGAGCTGAATTACCAGACCTTAGGAAGAGCAGAAAATACTCCAGCTCTGGGAGTCCCAGCAGAAGAAACTGAGAGGCTTTTTCTTCCCAGGGATGCTGATTGATGACTCAGCATTCACATCTTCTCTCCTATGTGTCTCTGCTCAGTGGTCAAATTCCAGAGAAGGAAATTCAAAACGACCTCTGGTCAGGGAAGCTAGTCAGAGAAATCAGACAACAACAATGAGAAACCAGATGTCTAACCACATCGTTGGTCTGGAGAAAGCTGCATGTACAAAGACTCTATACTGCCTCCAGTTGAGAGTGAATGTGAGGTGAGGAAACAGTACATGAAACCTTACTCTTCAACAAGTCTATACCAAGGGAAAAAGAAATAAAGCGATTGTGCACAGTGACCTCCTGGGCTGAAATATTTCTCCCACCCCAGCCTTCTGAGTAGTTAGAACTACAGGTGCACACCACCACACCTGGCTAGTTTTTAAAAATATATATTTTTTGTAGATATAGGGTCTCCCTGTTTCCCAGGCTGGTCTTGAATACCTGGATTCAAGTGATCCTCCTGCCTTGACCTGTCAAAGTGCTGGAATTAGAGGTGTGAGCCATTGTGCCTGGCCTTTGTTTAAGATATGATGTCCTCGAATATGTTTATAGGCTGGGAGACTTGGGGGAGAGGGGAGGTAATTAATGGAGCAAGTTACAGAAGAAGGCAGGTAGGGCTGATATTAGGGGCACAGGAGGAGGGATTAGCTTTGGAATGTAGGAGGCACACTTTTCCAAATAGATGGAGATTTGCAGGGTAAGGGGAAAGGAGAGATCTGCAAACTGATGGCCTATATTTCTCAGGGAAATAAAAGACAAAGTGACGTGTAGATTGAGGGTCCAGGAAGTGAGGACTTGAGGTGAGTGGTGAGTCTGTGACTCCTGCTGCAGGGTCAGGTTCACTAAGGGCAGCAGAGCAGGGGAGAGGTCCAGTCAAGTTTGACACCATGGATTGCTTTTTGTTCCTTTTTCCTTCCAATATTGCTTTTTTTTTTTTTTTTAACATTTTAATGTTTATTTACCTCTCTCTCAGAGTGAACTCGAAATGTTAAAGGTTAGACTGAATGGACCACATCATAAAGTTTCTGCTCAAGCTTTGGTGGTGTAAGGATGAAGTGGGCACAGAAGTAGCTTGTTATTATTGGACTTCACTTACCCTTGTTTCTCCATCATAACCTCTAGCCCACGGATGTTGGTTTGTCTTACTATTCTCGAGGACTTGGAGCCCTTGGTTCAGAAGATGAGGCAAGAGTGCGGTGGATCCCCTCAGGTGTAACTTTATTGCACAAGGGTGCACTAAATAGGCAGCCCCTGAGTACCAAGTACCACCAAGTTTGTTTAGAGGAAGGTAGTTTATATCACTTCAAGGTAGGGTTGTTGGGACAACCAAGCAAAAGTGGCATAAAGACTATTCCTTCCATAACTGCAAGAGGCATCCGTGGCGAACAAAAAGATCTCTCAATTGAAGACCAGGTGACCCCAGATGAGATGTCAATCAAGATCTGCCCCCTCTGAGTTCTTTAAAAATGGAAGCTCCATTCTTGACTTCATAATGGTTTGATTGCAAACATCACAGGCCTTCCTGTTAGCACAGCCCTAAAAAAGAACATCATTTCAGACTGCATTCTGATTGGGAGAAACAATCAGGAATTAGATTGGCGGACCTGAGTTAGAACCCCTATCCCACCACTTCCTGTGTGCCATTGGGCAAATTACTTACTCTCTCAGATCCTATGTCTTTGTATATAAAAAGATAATTTTAAGACGATACTAAATATCCTGGTGAAAGCATTAAATAAGGAGTCTGGCACATGTTAGGTGGGCAACAAGTACTGGAAATAATGGATCATGATATTTAATTTAAAGTTGTAGGTTTGGGGGTCTTTGTTAAAATAATGTAAAAGATACTTGTGAAATTTCTCTGTGGATACAATGTAATACAAATTCAAAGTGAAAAGGAGTTAGTCCCATTACCAGAAAGAATACAAAAACAAGCAGCAACAAAAGCAACAAACAAAAAACAAAAAGACTCCTGGTAATCATAAACACAGATGTGTTCTCTTAAAGACTGAGATTCAAATTGCCAAGGACATTATTGTTTGATAAAGCAGTGCAAGTGCAAAGATATATAAGTACCCCCGTCAAGCAGCTCACGGCTACCTCCTAGCACTGTCGTCAAACGCTCAGTAACTCCCCAGTGCTGTTCCTGTCCTTTCCAGTCTTGTCTTTCGCCGACTCCCCTTGACCTTTCAGCGCTGGTGAACTTGGATTCCTAGCCCTGCATTTGTTTTCCCCAGTTCAGCATTCTTACTGTTGTCATTCCATTTGTGTCTCTCGAAATCCTTCTCCTATCCCTACCCACAACCCTACCAATTTTCTCCTCCTTCAAGACTTGATCAAATCTCCCCTCCTCTAAAGCCGCCTCAGAATCATCACTTTCTGCTCCAAAATCCCATGGTGCTTCTCTTCTGTAGAACTAATTTGGCCAGCTAATAAGAGTGGGCATGTGTCATTCTTTTAGGCTACTCTGCATCTGAAGCCCTTTCTTAAGTTTGAGGGAAGCAGAGCCTGCCTATGGAAGTTGAAGATGCTTGAACATTTTCCCAGCCTCCCCTGCAGCTAAGACAAGGGCACGTGACAGAGGCTGAGCCAATCGGATGCATTCACCCCACTTGGCTGTGGAAGTCAGGGATGTGGAGAAGCAGAGACCCTGCAGTTCTGAAGCAGTTGAGGGTGATGCCTGTGGAGACAGCTGCGTTTGGTTTCCTGAGTCAATGATGGCAGAAAGTCTAGCAGTAGTGGCAAATAGGCACACTGATTGGTCTGTGCTCTGTGGTAGGAGTGGCAAAGTCTTCACCAAACTTCATGGCATGATATGGGCATTGCTTTTGGCTACTTATCTCCAAGACTGATTCTCCAGCTTTGCTGAAGGTTTAGGGCCAAAAATAGGAGATTTCAGCATAGTAACTGCTTAAAGTGCAATACAAGGCCACTCTGGGAATTTCTTACTGCTTGTCTTTTTAGAAACTTGCCTCCAGCCGTGGTTAGTGGGCCTTCTTTCTTCCTAGGCCATGCCCACAGAGGAATTTACAGCAGTATTTTTGGATGTTGCAATGTTTTGGGGTCAATGCTGACATTTGGGAGAGGGCAGAGATGCTAGTTTTCCTGCAATGTACAGGAGAGTCACACACAATGAAAAAGTATCTGTCATCTCCTGTCCTTTTCAAATGTCCCCAGGTTAAAAAACACACTGTTTATAATTATCTAAGTCTAGAATCTGACTCTGTTTTACATACAAAAACAAAATATTTGGGACTTTTTGAGGGAAGACTGTATTTGGTTTGGAACTTCCCCAAGGGTCTTTGCTATTTAGAGACATCACATCTTTAAAGATGGCAACGGTGCGTGTGGTGATGTCAAGGCGACGCCTGAGGTTCAGAGCTTGAGTGTCACCCCCTGCACTTCCTAGATTCTGTGGGTCCCACAAGCATCTTACTCCTTCATTGTGTATTTTGTAGTGTCCTCCTGGCCAAGTACTTGTATATTGTAGACATATTTTTATGTATTCCTTAAATTGCTTCCCTTTATTTCTCCTTTATATTACCATTAGGGAAGTATATTCAATTTTTTAAGTTCATTTAAATTTTATTTGAAGATAGTCATGGTGGCATTCTAAATTACTTGTTATAAAAATGAACAAGTACCATGACCATGACCCTAAAGCCCTCTCTTATTTTCCCCCAGTCTTTCAGCCTATCCCCTCCTAAACATGTTTGTTACTAAAGATCCATCAGGGTGGAATTTTCAACGTTATTCAATTTTTTTTAAGATAACATACTTTCCTTCCTGTTAGTTATATACATAAATGCCCTCAGAAAATGACTCTATTCTCACAACCATAACATCTTGGGTTAATATTGATTGAAGATTCAATGGCACATTTCAAATGCTGATGGGAGGGGGCTTTAAAACTATCAACTCTCAGGCTCCTAGGAGCTCAGTTTCTCTCTAAGCTTTATGGGGTGTAAAAAGCATATAGTGACCCAATCCACACTCTGCTCTTAATGGCCATGTGAGGGAAGAAAGCTTTGCTTTATCTCTCTGAATGCTTAGAAGGATTTAAATATAAATTAGCACAGGATTTGAAAAACAGAAAAGAAGTACCATCATATTCTATTTTTCAGTTACCAATCATCAAATTACAGTTGGTGAACTTTTGGGCAGACTGAGCTACTTGGCCTCATGGTGAGAACACAAAAAGACTCCCCAGGACAAGGTGTCCTCAGCCAGCTCAAGTGCAGATTGCAGATGGAGCCTCAGTGCCCAGACCACAGTGCCCAAAGGCTTTCTTACCGGTTTCAAGCCTCCTCTTGAATGACAATCATTCTGAGGATGACATTTTGGGGTTAGAATGCTCCTTGACTTTAAAAAACAAACAAACAAACTGAACCTTATCATATTTTACTAGTGGTCGTTGGCTGTTGACAACCTTTGTACTATATGTTTTTGCTGGAAATTAAAGTGTGTCAAATGCCCTTTCAAAACCCTATTATCTCAGCATGCAAAGCCAGCATCTGAGGATTTTCCACATAGAATCGACCGGTGTGTACTAAAAGACGTATGTATAGAAAAGGGGAGCTATGGTTTTAAAGAAGACTGAGTTTCCATCATTTTGAAACTGTATAAATTAACATGAGTTTCAAATCAACAGTGTGCAATTTTGATTTTATCAACTCAAGAAGCCTTGATCCACGGGAGTGACATAAAATGTTCTGGAGATTTTAATCAAGATGAGATAATGCATATAAAACTGAACAGTGAAGTCCCACACAAAGTATTTTAGGATATGCTACTAATTTTCGTAGTCTCCAGGGCAATGTTTAATACAAATTTGCAAACAATACAATAAATATACTCTGAAGTTGGATTCTTGTAGTTTAACAGCTACTCATTGCAAAAAAGAAAAAACTGAAAATAATGGGCAACTTTTTAGAACATTCATTAATGACTTTTCTTTTAAAAAATGGATTTTACCTGTTTTATTTTGCATCAACCAGATATAACCTGAATGACCAAAAAGAATAGTTGACCAAAAAGAATAGTATTTTTTTTTTTTTCAAATATGTCACCTTTATATGCTGGAAATATTTGCTCAAGATGTGATTCAACTGTGTCTGCCACGCTGGAGAGCTTTAAAGAATCCTTTTACATTGAAGTGTCAATTATTTCTCTATTCTTTTCAGGCAGGTGAGTACCCTCTCATCATTGTCAGTTCATCTCATTTTCATTTTCAAAATGCTAACCTAGAAAGTGGCCGGGTGATTTGTCTCTGTCTCCTTGTTTTCACAGCCCCCAGCGCAGTCTTTCTTTTTTGTCCTTGTCAGTTTCATAACTTTGACCTCAAGGATGTTTTTCAGCCCACAGAGCAACTTGCAGCTTCCCAGGCTCTGCTGTGCAAAGATGCTTTTCATTTTGTGAGAACTACCTGTGCCTTGATGTGGTAGAGATACTTCCCTTCTACAAATTCAGCAAGGCACAATAACTTGTTTTCTTGATTTTCACACTGACTCAAACATTTATTAGGCATAGTACTCTAGCAATGTTGGGAAATACATAGAAGAGTCCCGCCATTTCTTGACCTTAAGAACCATACATAAAATAAGATGGAAATAACATGTGCTGAATGCAATAGAACTGCTCCATCCAATAGAATAATTGCCAGTTAATTGGTTACTGAGGCATTTGAAATGTGGTCTGAATTGAGATGCACCATTAATTGTAAAATACACATTGGATTTCAAAGATTTACTGAAAAAATGCAAAGCATCTCAATTTTTAAATACTGATTACATGTTAATGTGATAATATTTTGGATATGTTGGGTTAAGGAAAACATATATTAAAATTAATTTAACCTGTTTCATTTTACCTTTTTTCACGTGGCTACTAGAAAACTCAAAATTGCATCTTTGGCTCACATTATTTCTATTAGGCAGTGTTGTTATAGAAGTTTACAGAGGAGTAGGGGAGTATGTCCTATATATGTGGTAGGATAGACACAGAGAGCCATGGTGAACAGAAAGCTATCTGAGAGGAGGTGACACTGGAGCTAAGTCTTGAATGGTGGCAGACTCTAGATACACAGAGTGGAGAAGGGATCTCAACCAGCAGCAGAGAGGCAATGCTGTGTAATGGGCAAGGCAGGCTTTGGATGACATCTCAGCTCCCTCTTATGATAAATTAGTACAGTGCCTAGAACAAGAAAAAGCACTTAATAAGCGGTATCTAATTTTACCAGGATGTGAATGTCAGCAAGGTTAAAGGATGATTTAAAGGATGTTAAAATGACTTCTAACCTAAAAGTCATTTCCTTAGCTACCATGCCAGAGACACCACCACTAAAGCCTTGCCTCTCCTTTCACATCGCTGCTTATAAAATAATGGCTTATAATCTGAATGAATCCCAAATTCTACACAGTACATATTCATGAACAGAGGAAAAAAGCGATACTTCCCAATTGACTTTCATTGTCCTTCTTCCATAAGTGACTTTCTAACATTTGATAACCTTTTTTTTTTTTTTTTGCATGTGGAAA